GTAACAATTGCTAATATTGTGAAAGTCTAGCCGGAAGATTAAACTTTAAATGATAAAATGGTGTAACAGCAAATAATTGTCTTCAACATGTATCTTAAGCACAGGATAAAGGTGGTACGTCAATGTTAATGAGAACCTACACAGCCTATAGAATTCTGGATTCCTTATGTTTCTAGGGTACACGAACCAATAAGAAAGAGAGGGCTGACACTTTTGTGTACATGTGCACAATGTAGGTATAGATAGAATCACATTATAAAAGACGGTGCCCATAGCAGGAAAATGTAGCTTCCTATAGGAAACCTCCAGCAGGAACCATCCCCATATTGATGATTAGGGCCAGCTCCAGCTTTTTTGCCACCCCAAGCGGTGAAGGAAAAAAAAAAAGATAAAGCCGCGATCGGCGGCACTTCGGCGGCAGCTCTACAACACCGCTTCATTCTTCGGCGGCAATTCAGTGGCCAGTTCTTCCCTCCAAGAGGGACTGCGGGGCCCGCCGCCGAATTGCTGCCAAAGACCCGGATGTGCCGCCCCTTTCCATGGGCCGCCCCAAGCACCAGCTTCCTGCGCTGGTGCCTGGAGCCGGCCCTGTTGATGATCAATCCATGAGAGGTTCAACAGACACTAACACCATCTAAGAGGATATGAGTATGTCTGTAGTTATAACTGGTACATGGATATATTAGGAATTGTAAATGCTGTGATATTTATAACTTTGTTAGTAACTGTGATGTTGCATTCCCTATGCTTTATGGAAATATGCTTATAAATATGACATAACTGGAATATGCTTTACGCTATATACCTCTTGTATGGTGTCATTAGAAAGCTTGTAATCTACTAAGTGTGTTCATCCTATTTGTTTGCATGTATTATTGCTATATCTGGAATTAGGAGAATAAGATATAAACTTGTATCACAGATGTAAACATATTAAGTGGAGGCCATTAAGGGTGCTCCAGAAACAGTCAGTTGTAAATGGCCTTAGTTACTTGAAAGCCTTCCTGTGTACATGTGGGCCAGCCCAGGAAGAATGGAGTCTAGGAATCGTACAGTGACATGTGACCATTTCACATAATGCTGGAATCCATCTTAGTCCCTGTACTTTTCCATCAATGAGGTGGGGGTGGGGAAAAGCACAGACAAAAGATTCCTGCCTTGTGCCAAAGCTATAAAAGGGGGTGGAGCTGAACAAAAGGGGCTGCCCTTCATGAGAAAACCCCTGCTTACCAGCTGAGATGTCTTCTGGAACTAACAAGGACTGTACCGGGGAAAGGATTGGGCCCAGACTAGGACGGAGTCTAGTCTATGAAAGAAGCTTATTGGAACATCTCTGAGGGTGAGATATTACCTGTAATCAGTTTCTTAATGTATTAGGCTTAGACTTGAGTGTTTTTGCTTTATTTTACTTGGTGACTTACCTTGTTCTGTCTGTTATTACTTGAAACCACTTAAATCCTATGTTTTATACTTAATAAGATCACTTTTGTTTATTAATAAACCCACAGTAAGTGATTAATACCTGGGGGAGCAAACAGCTGTGCATATCTCTCTATCTGTGATACAGAGGGTGGACAATTTATGGATTTACCCTTTATAAGCTTTATACAGAGTAAAACGGATTTATTTGAGGTTTGGATCCCATTGGGAACTGGGTGTCTGGGTGCTGGAGACAGGTAACCTGCTAAGCTGTTTTCAGTTTAATCTGCAGCTTTGGGGGCATAGACCAGACCTTGGGTCTGTGTTGCAGCAGGCAAGCATGTTTGGCTCAACAAGGCTGGGTTCTGGAGTACCAAGCTGGCAGGGAAAACGGGCTCAGAGGTAATTTCAGCACATCAGGTGACTGTCCCAAGGGGATCTCTGAGACTGAACCTGTCACAGTAACATTAATAAAACTGCTAAAAGATAGTGGACCTTGTTCTTGTGATTGTATGTGTTACTTGCCTATGGTTTCATGTGTTCCTATGAGCTGTAGATCCAGAACAAACAGAGATAACTCTGTTCAACTTGAGACTATAGCTGCCAGAGCCAAACCCACTGTAGTATAATTAAAATTAAATACAATAAAAGGCTACATGGCCTACCAAGAGAAACACTATTAAAAAGCTGGAGACTTCTGTATTGTTTTTAGCACAGTTGACTCCAGAAAAACAAGGAAAAGGGGTCTGTTCAAAAGGAAAAACATTTACTAACTTTTAATAACTATTGTTCTTCGAGATGTGTTGCACATGTCCATTCCACTCTTGGTGTATGCACATCCCACACGCAGTCAACGGAAATTTTTTCCCCTCAATGGTACCTCTCAGGGTGGCTCGAGCATACTCTGCAGCCAGGCACCACTGGCATTGGTATAAAGGGCCCTGCCGATACTGAGCTCCCTCAGTTCCTTCTCTCTGGAAACCTCAAAGCAGAGGTGTAAGCAGGTTGTGGAATGGAAATGTGTGACACACTGTGCCTCAGAATGACACCCTCTAACCCCCATATTCTCCATTCATATATGGTTGTGATATTTCATACAAAGCATGCCATGTAAGGTATCATATCAAAGGCCATGATCTGCTGAAACTGGTTCTTCTGTCCAAATATGTGTCTCATTAGTGTGTATAAAGTTATGAGATTATTCCATACGGTTGTTACTAAAATATGCTGTAAGTTTGCTTGTGGCATGCAAAGGATCCCTGCCCAGGTGGGTGTCAACAATCTATTAATCAGATGCATGATTCAACTATGCAAGCAACACACAATGGGAACTTATAATTTACTGTGGCTCAGCAAAGCCCACCAGGACATGCCTTGGCTAGTGTCTGCCAGGCACATGGGACAAGGATATAAAATAAGGAACAGTGCAACATGATGGGGCCTTTTTCCTATTCCACCTACTCTGGAAGAAGCTGGGATGCCAAGAAGACAAAGGTCATCTCAGGAGCGGGGTCCACACTTCAGGAGGGAAGTCTGTGCATTAAGGACTGTAACATCCAGTGAGGTAAGAAAATTTCTTGAGTCAAATCCTGTTTAGTTTATAGAATATAGAGTGGGTACTTATTTTTATTTTCTTTGGTAAACATCTCTGTCCTTATATACCTTATATACCTACCACTTATAACCACTTAAAATCTATCTTTCTGTAGTTAATAAACCTCCATGAGTACAAACTTTAGCCTGGCTTCACCATCTTTCTTCATGTGAGGTTTAAAGTCTCTGCAAATTTGGCAACACTCTGCAATATGAGCTTTCTGAAGGCACTTCAAGCAACTTGAGTGCAGGTCGCTCATGGGCATAGCCTTATAGCAGGAAACGCTGGGCTTGAAGCTGAGTAACCAAGGCATCCCTCAGTACTGGGATTTGAGTGAAATCCTGAGATGGTAAAAAAAATCTAACTAACTAAACACAAATAACCCTAATAACACTAATTATTTACAATACAAGAGAACACAGTCCACTGGGAGAACTTTCAAATGAAAAAAGAGAATTTCCAGAGACCATCCCAAGAAGGGACTCAGGTGGCTCAGGGTTGGGTGGGCCCTTTATACCTATGCCAGCAGTGCACAGCAGCAGAAGGCACTCAAGCCACCCTCATGGGTACCACTGAGGGGAAAAAATTCTAGTGACTTTGTGCAGAATGCGCACACACCAAGAGTGGAATGCACATGTGCAATCACTCAAGGGAGAGCTAACATTTAACAAACACTTAATCTATTTACATTAGAGACTGCCTAGCTATTTGCAAGTACCTATAGATGAGAAAGAGAGCTGAAAGAAGCAAACCTTTAAGGAACACAGGGAGCTCCAATTCCATCACAGTCAGTGAGATGGAACAGAGAGGGAGTTGGAGCAGCCCTGTCCTTTATAACCTACAGCTGTGAGCACAAGGACACAGTGCACATGTACAACCCCAACGGTAATTATAGCAAAAATCTTAAACTCTTGTGCACTGGTCACATAAACCTACAATGGAACTATATGTGTGCAATCACTTCAAGGAGAACCATTACTGCAATGTGCTTTGTTCCACTATAAGGGGATCAGGGCCCATAATTACTTGCCATTCTTGAGTTCCAACCTGAACTCCAAAACTAATCTGCAAAGCAATTGTTATCGGGTCAAATGTGGAATAAGGAGCCAAAAAATAGAGAGAAAAAACAAAGGAAAAATATCACATGTACAAGTCAGAAAAGACTCCTGAATTTAATTGGTTTTTCAAAAAAAGGAAGTCTAATAGCCATGTCAAAAGGAAGGGTAGAGGAGTTAGTGACTGAACATGAGAACATTTTCAACTGTCATTCTGTGCCTCCTATATAATATGCAATGTAGATGAAGGACCATACTGTCTCATGTGCACCAGGGCAACCAGCCCATTTTAAAAAAACAAACACCTATTCTCCAAGATGATTATGATAGGGTGTATAGACCCCACTGATGAGGATGGTGTCAGAGAGGTGGTGGGGGAAGGGCTAGCCCCACCCATCTGGTCTTGGTAAAGAGGAGGTCTCTTAAAGGGAGGAAACTGCAATCAGATAGAGGGGGAAGACTGCCCTAAGCAGGAGGTGGCTGGAGTGACTCCTGGAGCCACAGGGGGAACTCCCATACAGGAGATCTTCTCCCCGACGCTGTGGGCAGTGCAGCAAACTTCCACAGTAAACTGGACAGAGTAAGCCTTACTCAGCAGCCCAGCCAGAGAGATTTCTCAAAACCCACTACACAGGCTGTAGACTTTCCTTTCCTCCATGAGGGATACTGGGAAGGGGAAACTCTCAAGTGCATTTGGGCACTTAACTTTCCTTTTGATTCTCCCATCCGGAGAGACAAAAGAAGCCCTGCAAAGGGCAGGGCCTCCTTGCAAAACCTAAGGAACTGGGGCATGTGTTGGAGCCACCCAGTGTAAATAACGGGGTGCGGTCAGATTCTCCCACGAGAGAAAAACCTTAGGGGATTCCTTTACAATGACCTTATCAAAAGACATAATTGTTGTATTACAAACTTTAAAACCAAGCATTACTTACGGGGCATATGACCACATGATACAGTTTCCTCCTCCAGGGCATTTGCAAACACAGCCTCTAGCTGTATTTGTCTTATCATCATCATGAGGGAAACCAAGAGAATGTCCCATCTCATGTGAAACAAGGATTGCATCATAGAGCACTGATATATCTCTTGCCTGTATACAATTAAACAAAAGACAAAGATAAGAAGGAGCTATAAATTACATATGAACATAAAAAGCTAAATTTTAAGAGCTGTGTGATAGCATGAACACACTGGATAATTCCATTTGACAACATAAATCTAGAACACTGCAGAACCCCAGAAGAGAAGTTTCAGAGTGAAGGAATAATTTCTTCACACTGCCCTCTGAGATCCTTTTAAGAGGGGAGAAAATGAACCACTCACAAGTGATAAATAAAATAAAAAAAATATATGTCTAGCTCTGCCAAGGTCCCCAAGGCATAGAATTTTATTCAATAATTCCTACACCAAGTCCATAACTTCTGGTTGTGCTAAAGCATTTCTTTTATAAGGACATCAATTCCTGATTTAAAGACTCTATGTGATGAAGAATCCAACATAACATTTAGTAAGCTGTTCTAATGGTTAATTAACTTCACTGTGCCTTTTTTCCCATCCAAATTCATCCAGACTCAGATTCCTCTCTTTCATAAGCTAAATAGATTGAACTTTTAAAATCTCTCCCCCTAAAGCAGTTTTTTTCAGACTGAATCATTCTCATACCTCATCGGAACCACTTCCAATTTTTCACCATCCATGTGAAGGTACAGAGTAGGTCATGAGGGATATGGAAAGTATAGACCCCTTGTTTGGAAGATTAGGAGGAAGAACTTAGTCATAATGGATCACTGATATCAACTACAGATAAGAGTAGGTAAATAACTTTTATCTATTGCTTCCATAGCTTGGTTGCAGGAAGTCCACAATCATTTTTTATCACTTTTAAATAATTGCACAGAACACAGCCCTATGGGATTCTTGACTTCATACTGGTGAGAGTAAGGACTAAGACAGAAAATATGGTTTAATTTCTCCCCACTTTGGACAATGCCTGAATATTTACTTGTAAAATTATCAAGTGGCACAGTGTTCCCTAGGAAGCTATTATGACAAAAACACTGAGCTCTGGGTGTATCAGCTGGGGAAATAGGTCTCCAGCTGAGTCACTTTCAGTTCAGGGTGCATCACGGTTCCAAAATTACTGACCCTCTTTGGGGTCTTCAATCTTCTTTCAGAGACTGGGTCAACTCCTTGGGGAGTAGGCAACTCTGCATGTGGCTGGTGTGGGAACCCAGGCCCTCCCACTACTCTGGGTCCCAAGGCAGGGACCCTATAAATAGCAGCTGCCTGCTGTATCCTTGTACTAATTGCCGAATTTCACTGGGGCACTTCCCTACTGTCCCCCAATACCTTTCTTTCACCTTTAACTAGGGCTGAAGTCTTGCTTAAGTGCCAGCAGCCACCCAGGAGCTCCTTTTCCTCCCCCAGTCCCTGCCAGTAACTGCTCTGTCCCTGGTACTGCAGTTTCTTGAGCCAGTCAGGAGCACCATCCTAGCTCCTCTGGCTCCAGACAGCAACTGACTCACTCTGTTACTTCAGCTCCTTTTATATTGGCCGGCTGGGCCAGAGTTGGCTGCTTCCCTGCAGCCACTCTAGGCCACTTAGAGAACTCACCTTCCCTGCTCCTTTCTGGAATGGGGTGTGGCAGGACCACGAGGCCTCTGGCAGGGGGGCTCAGTTCCTGATACACCCCATCATAATGATGATATAATACCTTGGCTGATAAAGTCTGCAGATGACTAGGGCCCTACCAAATTCATGGTCCATTTTGGTCAATTTCATGGTCATAGGATTTTGTAAATCGTAAATTTCATGGTTTCAGCTATTTAAATCTGAAATTTCACGGTGTTATAATTCTAGGGGTCCTGACCCAAAAAGGAGTTTTGGGGTGGGTCGCAGGTTGTGGTTGTGGTACTGCTATCCTTACTTCTGTGCTGCTGCTGGTGGTGGTGCTGCCTTTAGAGCTAAGCCGCTGGAGAGCGGCACCTGCTGGCCGGGAGCCCAGCTCTGAATGAAGAGCCGCCGCCAGCAGCAGCACAGAATTAAGAATGGCATGGTATGGTATTGCCACCCTTATTTCTGCTCTGCTGCCGGCAGAGCTGGGCCCTCAGTCAGCAGCCACCATTGTCCGGCCACCCAGCTCTGAAGGCAGTATTGCTACCCTCACTTCTGCGCTGCTGCTGGCAGAGGTGCTGCCTTCAGAGCTGGGCACCTGGCCAACAGCTGCTGCTCTCTGGCCACCCAGCTCTGATGTCAGCACAGAAGTAAGGGTGGCAACACCGTGGCCCCCCTAAAATAACCTCATGACCCACCTCCCCCCTCCACAGCCCCCATTTGGGTCAGGACTCCCAATTTGAGAAACGCCGGTCTCCCCCGTGAAATCTGTGTAGTATAGGGTAAAAGGACACAAAAGACCAGATTTCACAGGGGCAGACCAGATTTCACAGTCCATGATGTGTTTTTCATGGCCGTGAATTTTGTAGGGCCCTACAGATGACATATCGGTGGGGAAGTAAATAATGAGGTAGACAGATTACTGTTGCAAAGAGATCTGAATCACCTGGTTAAATGATCACAGTCCAACCAAATGTGTTTTAATACAACCAAATGTAAGACAGCACTTCTGAGAAAGATGAACAAAATGCATGCTATGCCTACAGGATGGAAGACTTTATCTTGGAAAGCAGTGATTAAGAGAAGGACTCGGGGATCATCAAAGCTAATCACCTCAATGTGAGCTGTCAATGCAATGCTGTGGCAAAAGGGCTAATGCAATCCTTGAATTTATGTAAAGAAGTGTAGGAGAAAGAGACAGCCTGAGACACAAGGATTGGTATAAGAGGGCCGGTATGTGGCCTGAGGCCTAAACTAAAGTAGTGGTCAAGCCTTGCTAATATAAAGCAAAGTTAGCAAAAATCAGGCTGTGAGCAGAAGTCAGCCCTGTTCTTGCCAGCAGTGTTGCAATATGCATGTCTATGAACTCTGATCCCACCAAAGGTACTACTTGGGAGTCACCTAACGTGGAGTGGACATAATCAAGCACTGGAAGAATCAAAAATGATTACTAACCTTCCATAACTTGTTCTTCAAGATGTGTTGCTTATGTCCATTCCACGACCCACCCTCCTGCCTGTTGTTAAGAGTTCGCCAGCAAGAAGGAACTGAGACGGTGCAGAGTTGCCTAAGTCTTTTATATCGGCATACGAGCACGCGACACCAGAGGCAAGAACAGGGCTGATATTGCAAAAACACACACATTCCTGAGAAGTACTAGGCAAAGGATACTCATGCAAGCACATTCCTGAAGGGTGGTACTAGAACACACCCTCCCCAAAGATAACAGGAACATGATGACCTCTCTTAAAAATAAGGTCAGATGACAGCATAATGGAAAGAGATGTTTTGATCAAACCAACATGTACAAAGTAAAGGGTGGTAACTAACCACATCAGATGGGCAATACATAACTTGTTTGTATCGCGGTATAAAAAGGACCCTCAAAGGAAGAGTCTTTGGCCAGCCGAGAGGGGAATGGAAAGTCCTGCCATTCGCTGAGTTGTGTTCATTGTAATGGGCATACATACTGTGCTTCATTGACAATAAACTTGACCAGGCGTCTTCACTACTGAAATGGGTCTGTGGTCTTATTGGGCAGTTTGATTGAGGTCTCCTGTATCCGCATTCTGAGCAGAGCTGTCACAGCACACAGAAAGAACACACACACACAGCCAGTGAATAACAACAAGAAGAATATCAAGCACAACTAGAAATGTGATCTTGCCTCTGTACACAGCATTGTTAAGACTACTATTAGAATAGTGTGGCCAGTTCTGGTTCCACACTTCAAGAAAGTTGCACGCGACATCAGAGGGTGCTAGTGCTGGCCCCACGGATATTACTGAGGGGAAAATGTCCTGCAACTGTGCACGCACCGTGTGCACACCTAACATAGAATGGATACGAGCAACACATCTCAAAGAAAAACAGTTACAGAAAGGTTTGTAACTCGTTTTGTGGGGTTTTTTTGCAGCCTCTGGTTCATTTTTGTGGCCGTCATTTGAACTGTCCAGCATGTTGAGATGCTGCTCCTCCCTATTCCTGTGCTGTTTCAGGGAGAAGCCTGATTACTATGGAACTACAGAACCACCTTCAGGAGGAACACGGCTAGGGGTGAAGTTGTGCCTTGTCCTTAAAGAACATTATATCTGGAGTTCTGCTATTAGGGTCTTAGATCTTGGAGACCCTCCTAGATGAGGTAATCACTACCTGGAAGGTGACCTTCCAGGAGAGGTATGACAAGGGGCATGATGCCAGCGACTCAAAGGGAGGGCCTCTGAGTCTTGACAGGACCACATTAGATCCCACAGTGGAACAGGTTCACGAATCTGAGTGTATAGTTTCTTTTAAGGCCTTGAGGAAGTGAATGAACATTTCGTGAGGAAAAAACTCACCTACCATCCACTGGAGGATGGAAAGCAGAAATGGCTGGTAGGTGTACCTTAACTGATGAAATGATTAGGCCCTACTGTTTCAGATGAAGCAGATACTCTAGCATGGAGTGAAGAGGTGACCTAGCAGGTGAGAGGCCTCGTTGGGATGACTACATGGAGAAATGCTTCCACGTGGTGAGGTAAATCGCTCTAGTAGATGGTTTTGTACTACCTAGCAATACCTGGTGGATTTCCTTCAAATAGGCCAGCTCCACTGGGTTTAACCACGAAGCTTTGACGCAGTCAGTGGAGGGCCTTGAGATTCAGCTGGAGCAATTGGCCATGATCTTGCGAGATCCAGTCTGGGAGAGGAGGGAGCGACATCTGCATTGCTACTGAGAGGTCCAATAACATGCCAAACCAGAGCTGGTGTGGCCATGCTGGGGCTATAAGAACAGCTTTACTTTGAGTAAGACTTTCATGAGAGGAATGGGAGGAAATGCATAGAACAGGTGCTTTGCCCAAAGGAGCAGGGAGACATTTGTGAGGAAAACCAGGCTGCACCCACATAGAGAGCAAAACTGTTTTGCTTGGTTGAGAACAGGCTTATGAGGGGAGTCCCCCACAGCTAGAAGATGGTCTTGGTTATATTGGGACAAAG